ATCTTTTATATATGTGTATCTATATAATATTACATGTTGTATAATGAAAATAGTGAATGATGATGAAAATAGTAGCTCACAATTACATAATGCTGTAAGATTAGCAAAGCACTTTCGTACATTCTTTGATCTCATCTCAAGATCATTGTGAAGTAAGTGCTATGATGTTCCCTATTTTAATGATGGGGAAACTGAGGCTCAGAGAGGTTCAGTGACTTGTCAGAGGCCACCCAGCCTAGAAGTGACAGAGACACAGGATTTAAAGTCAGTTCTCAAGTCCCTGCTGTTGTTTTTCTGTAGAAAGATGTAAGCAAGGAGTACTTCAACATGTCATCCACTTCTATAATAGAGAAAATATTAGGTTTCTGGAAAATTTAATTTTCCTTAGTTGAGCCTCAGAAACATGCTATTTGAGCCAGAGCTTTGCTAGGAGGTGGTTCCACTGCTCAGGCAAGGCCTCTGAAGGGCTTCTGTCCTAGGCATTAGCTCAGGATGAATTCTCGCCTTCTTAACACATGCATTTCCATCTCCCATCTCTGTGTACCTTGGACAGACATGCTTCATTAACGAGCTTATTTGCTTCTAAAAACAAAGCACTCCTCTGGGGCAGAGGTGGCATTTGGACAGCAGGCTCTCTCCAGAGATGGTGCATTGTCAAGCCTTCTCTATAGAAGGATGTGGTGCAGGGAACAGGGTGGGAGAGAGAATTTGCAATGAAAACACCTGGAGGACCTTGAACAAGCCTCTTTCCCTGTCTGGGCCTCCATTTCCTCTTCTCAAATGATGGGGTTGGACTGGATGGCCTTGTAAGTCCCTTTCAGCTCTGAAGCTCTGACCTTGTGATTGAGAGGAAGGCTCATCCCAGGATTCATACGCTCTTTGGGCCCCTTCTTATGACCTTGCCTCTTTCCCCACTGTATCTTGGCCTATTCCTCCATCTGACCTTATCTTCCCAGTGCTGGTGGGCTACTGAAGGCAAGTCTTAGGTTCCTGTCATGTGGGGCTACTCGGTATGTATCCTGTAAAGGGAACACAGAGGGGGCACACTGATTGCCTACCCATACTAAAAGCAGCGCGGCCAAAGGTCAGTACAATGCTCATGGAGGAACAGGGGAAGTTCTTTTTTTGAAAAGAAAACAAGCCAAACCATAACCCCCTTTATCAAGTAAACCCCCCCCCCCATTTGCTATCAAAAAGGCCTAAAGTCATAAAATCTGTCCTTCAGAAGTCCCCAAGTGGGAGTTCTTGCTCACAGGATCCCATGCTCTGGAGAGGCCTCCTCCCTTATTCTCCGTGATCTTAATTCTTGTTTACATCCAGAATGCACATTAGATCATCTCTGTTTGGAGCTCAAGTATAAACCCTCTGAAAAACATGAAACATTCAATTCCTAATTAGCTGTTTCCTGTTCCTAATGAAGTGAGCATGCTGGCTTTGGATTAAAATTCAGCTACTGCTCTCCTCTGTTTATGGTTCCAGATGTTTTTGTTTTATCTAGGAGTTTACTTTGACAGCTACTACTAAATGATAAATCACTCATATTAGAGCTGAGATGCATTTTGAAATTGAAATGTGGCAAACTTGGAGATTGCTCCAAGGATCAGTGTCAGTCAGCAGGTCAATATTGGGTTCTGGCCTTCAGAGGAGTCAGTATTGGCATATGTAAAGCAGGAATGGGAGATCTGTCAACATTAGACAGCATCCTCCACACTAATCACCTCTCGCTGCTATCCCCCAGATTGGGAGTAAAGTGTGTAACATGATGAATTCTCAATCCATTGTACTTGGCCCAGCAGAGTGGATGCACATTTGTACCATCTCCCTCTTTGCTGAACAGTTGTTCTCCTTTGGTTTCAGTCCACAACACATTTATCAAGTATCTGTGTGCCAGTCACTGTGCTAAGTACTGGGGAGGCCTCAAGAAGCTTGCATTTATTTCTGATTAGCCTTTTAAATAGGCACCTTTTCCAAAGAGTGCAAGTCCACTATTGGTCTCTTCAACTATGAACAGTAGAATGGGCATGGTACCTTTTCTACTTCCTGAAGGGCAAAGTAGGGTATACAGACAGGTATCCATTAGGATGGAATGTGGTATTCTCCTTTTGGAAGTTGTTTTGCAAACGCTCGGGGACTTGTGGTAAATGGGTATAGTGTGTTAGATACGTGTACCTTTACTACATGGGACCAATTTCAGAACTGGTAAAATTCCCATCTGTCACAATGGCCCCTGAAGAGTGGGCCCTTGAAACTTAGGCCATGGGGGGGCTCAAGCCATTGTCTAATGAATCCATGAAGCAGTTAAACAAGCAAACTCCCAAGGCGCACCAGTTTCAAAAACGTGGGCCCTGTTTCATTCACCCTTTGTCCTGGAAAAAAGCAAGTCATTCTCCCTTCCCCAAATCCCAGTGAGGGAGGACATAGAGTGAGAGGAGGTGGACAAGTTTCTAATAATTTAGTTTGGCCTTACATACAACCACAGTCAGTAGCATTTTTCATTGGAAGAGAACTCAGTAGCCATCCAGTCTAACCCCATGCAAAAAAGAGCCCCTGCCCTACAATTTAACTAATAAATGCATAGAAAGGAATCGAGGTAGCCCATTCCATGGAGGCAGGGGCAGGGCAGCTCTAAGTGTTAGGGAATTAACCTCCATTTTTTTTCTTTGCACCTTTTCTCTGTGACTCCTAGTTCTGCCCTCTAGGGCTAATCCCTTTCTCCACATACACAGCAGTCCTCACAGTAAGTACTTGAATACATACTCTGCTCCCAGTGCCCCCTAGCCCATCCCTCATCTTCTCTTCACCAGCCTAGACGTGCCCAGTCCCTTCAACTCATCTTCACATGACATAGACTCATTGCCCTGGTTCCTCTTCAGCTTACTTGTGTCCTTCCTGAATATGAATGTCCCAGTAGGATCTGATGCGGGCAGAGTACAGAGGAACTATCACCTCCTTATTCTGGAAAGCTGAGGCTCTCTTAAGATAGCCCAAGACAGTATTAGCTTTGGGGCGTTACTGTATCAAACTACTGATTCACACTGAGCTTACGGTCTTCTGAAGTCCCCAAATCTGTTTCAGGCATACTGCGATAATCACTACGTCTCCCCCTCATTGTACTCGTAAAACTGATTTTCCAGCCCAAGTATAAGAATTTACATTTATTTATCCACATTAATTTCATTGTATAATATTCAGCTCAATGCCCTGGCTAATATGGTTCACTCGGAACACCCTCTTTTCTCTAATCTTGGTACAAAGATTTTTGTTTGTTTTTGGAGTATCCAGGATTCTCTGGCTTTAGGAAAGGACCCAGGAAACAAGGTAGGACAATGGGAGGGATACTGGCCTTGCAGCCAGAGGATCTCAGTTCAGATCCCTGTTCATGTGCCACTGGGCCTCAGGGCAGGGGGGGCTTCACCTTTGTCCAAGTTTCAACACGTATAAAAGGGGAGGGGAGTTTGCTGACCTGACCTCCAGTGCCTCTTCTAGCTCTAAATCTATAATCTGAATAGTAATAGTTTGCCCTGTGAAGACCCAAAGTCATCATTATAGGATTGTTTACACAAAGGGAAGGGTATCCTTTCCCCTCTTCCCCAGGGTAAGCTCTGATCAAAGGTAATAACATTTGCAAAATTGACACATAGGTATACATTAGGCTTTGGCCCATGTAGAGCACATCGCTGACCCACCTCTGTCAGACATTCCCCTTGGGTACTTTTTCTAAAGGTGATGATGGATTTCTATAGATTTAGCCACATCTGGTTACTTGGTGCCCCTTGAAACCAAAGGTCCTTTGTTAGACAACTGGCTAGCACGCACATGCAGAACATGTCATTGGAACAGAGAAAAACTAACTAGTGCATGCACTTCACCCCATCAAGGACACATTCTAACAGAGTGAACCCCAAAATTTAAGGCCACCAAAAATCACGTGTCTTAAGGCCCCAGCTGAAGTCCAAGTGCCTGTTGTTCAGTACACGAGACAGTAACTGGTCAGTGACAATAACAGCATAAGGGTGGGGAGGGTCACCACTAATGTATGAGCTCTAGACCTTGTCCCCAGTGGCCTTGCAATATAAAATCTCTTTTTGTTGAATCCATGTAATTTCCTTTAGGAATAAGGGCTTAATAGACTAAAATCGTAAGTCGTCAAATCATCGTGAAGCTTCTTCTACAAAAGGGATCCACATGAAACACCAGTTCTTCCCTTTTGCCAGGGATTAGGGCTGTAGACTTCAGAGGAAGGAAGGACAGGTTCGAGTCACCATTTCCATGCCTAAACACTAACCAATGAGACTCTCGTCCCATTTCCTTAAGAAAAGTGTTAATCAAAGAAATGGATGAATAAGAATCTCTCTCTTAAAATAAAAATGTAGTGTTTTTAAAAGGACATCAGATGGCAGCCAGGGAGCTGGAGGAAATTTGGAGAACCATCTGGCTTACTCTCATAACTTTTAGGAGACGAGCCCATACATAATGCATAGGGTGAAAGGGGAAAAGTAACAAAAATTTATTTTATTCAGCACCTATTTATCTGCTGAGCACTCTGCTAAGTACCTTGCAAATAGTACCTCATTTGACCTTCACACCAACTTTGCAAAATAAGTGCTATTATTATACAGTTGAAAAACTGAAATAAAGGCAAATGACTTGCCCAGGGTCCCACAGCTAGCAAGTATCTGAGGTTGGATCTGAACTCAGATCTTCCAGACTCCAGGCCCAGTGCTCTCTCCACTGTGCCACCTCGCTGAAGGTGCCTCTGCCTGTGCCCAGGTTAACCAGTGGATATGTGATCAGTATTTCAAGTGCTTCTTCTTCCATGCATATTGACATAGCCTCAGAGTTCATTTTCAGTGAACACTGGATTACATAAATGAAAAAAAAAAAAAAGGTGGTAAGCTCTCACTGGGCCCTGTTATGGAACATTCCCTCTAAGATATGGTGACTTCTTTTTCAAATTGCCTAACTCCTTTCTTTTTTCCATGTTGTTTTTCCTCTTTCAGAGAGCCAGGTGTACATCAAGCCTCCCGTCATGTACTGAAGGAAATTTCTATTAAAAAGTATATCCATACCCATGCCATCCATTATCTGAAGCTATCTAGTTCATTGAGTTGTTACCTTTGATGCCTTCAGTGCTATGTGAAGAACAGAAATTGTAGCATGAAACTTGAAGACGTTGGCTGCATTGAATACCGCAACATCAAAAGCTTTTGTAAGCCGCTCACGCCAAACCAAGCCTGTTGCAATTGATCATTTGTAGACCCCCCCCCCAGAAGTTTTAGTCTTTTTAAGTACATATGTGATTTATTCCTTCCAAGAGAACTAACCTTTTATTTGCCCCCCTTAAGGAGGTAGCTCTTACTGTCTAGCAGTGGCACAACCCTATTAATCGGCCCTAATGGTCCCCGCTGGCTTTACCTATGTGCAAATCCTAACTCCAGTTTAGCACCAAAACTATTCATCCTTGAGCTGTTTCAATTGTGTTTATAAATTAAGCTTTGTTTACTGAAGCAGATATTCCATATATACTACATTTTGCAGAGAAATGTGTGTACGTTTTAAAAAAAAGGCATAAAAATGCCCTTTCAATTTGATGAATGATGCGAATAATGTGTGAGCTTAACCCTAACCAGCTGAAGTCCTATGGTTATAATTAATTGATGCTTTATATGCTCAGTTCAGCTTGGCTTTTGGTCTTTTCCAGTGAAAACATGAATATGCAGTAGAGTGTTAGATCCTAGAAACTTTTACGTATGGTTTCTCTGTTGTACCATATTAAGTTAAAGTACCCCTTCTTTGTTAAGATGTTCTCGCTTAAAATGCAGTATTAAAAAAATCTTTCATTGACTTTAGAATCTGAGTGTCACTTACTCCATTTGTTCGACACCGGCCCCTGGGGCACAAAGACCCAAACAAAGCAGTCATTGCCCTCAAAGGGCTTACATTCTAATCTAACATGGGAGACACCATGAACACAGATATATACATGCCGGGATGTGCTGGTAAATATTTAACAGCCAGCTCTCTAAAAAACCCAAAATAAAACAAATGCGTATACAACATACTTTGAAGGTTAAGCTATATTGTTAACCTTTTATCCATCATTTTAAGTCTAACAAACAATCAACAATACAATAAATCGAACCTTGATTTGTACCCTTTGCCAATTTCCAAGGTGTAAAGGTTCACAAAGAAAATTTAACAATCAATCAGCTCTTATGAGTCAGTTTGAGCTGGCTCCAACACCCCCACATGTGTCCACGTGTCAGTGCCCTGCATAGATCACAATCTGCCTTAAACTTAGTAGCTATGTCTTAGAGATCTACTAGAGGTAAAGTGATTTATTTACCTAGGCTCACCTGGCTGGTGACTGTCAAAGGAGAGATTTTAATAGGGGTCTTCTCACTCTAACTATTATACCACCCACCCAGCTGCCTCACTATGCCAATGTGTATAGTGCAAGGAAAACTAAAAAGGGAAAGTGATTCTTACCCTGCTTGTCAAGGGTCTAAGCCAACTTGGGTCAGTGCTCTATGGAGCAGAATTAGAGTTATAATTGCTGCCTGGTGGTCACCCCACCTCTGCTGCATGAATACTTCCTGGTGATTCCACAACAAGGCAAACCATTCCATCTTCCTGAAGCTCAAATGAACAGCCTTCCGCAAAGATGATCAATATCAACTCAACAGAGGACCCCCTCATTGGAGTGCTACAGAATAACCCCACTCTGTCTTCCACTTGCTAGAGGGAAAATACCCCAACCTAACGCCTCCAATCCTTTCATAGTTCAATGTGAATCTCCCCTCTAATAACTAATGTCAACAAGAAGGGAAATGATAGAATGTTGCGATCTTAAAATGTTTACTGGAGATGCATGCTAAACACATTACTATACGGGATGACCCAGAAATCTTAGCACAGTTTTAAGGTTTAATAGTATAAAACCACACTAAGACTTTGGGGACACTTGGTGTTTCAAAGCTTTCATTCTAAGTGATTCCTTCCTTCAAACGAATGAATGAATGAATGAATGAATGAAAGAGTGAATGCATGAATGTTTTTTTTTTCGTTTGTTTTGGCAATGGGGTCAAGTGACTTGCCCAGGGTCACACAGCTAGTAAGTGTTATGTGTCTGAGGCCGGATTTGAACTCAGGTCCTCATGAATCCAGGGCCGGTGCTCTATCCACTGCACCACCTAGCTGCCCCTTGAATGCATGAATGAAAAGAGCACTGGGCACAGAAGGAAGGACACAAGCTGGTCCCTCCCCTCGAGGAACTCGTATCCTTATGGGGAAGATGACACATATAGAAGGTTTTAGCTGTAAGTCAGATGATGAGGAGGTCCAGTGGTTCTCTGGACTCGGGAGCTAAACAGCATTTTTCAATCTATTTGAAGATGAGTTCCTTTGTGGTTAAAAAAAGATACATATAGATTCAATTCCTATCTTTTCAGTGTCATTTCTATTGCTAAAAAACCTAGCTGTTTCTAACCTCCAAGCACATGAGAACACCCAGTGTTGCCCAGAATTTACTTTTTCGGGCAGTTCTGTCAGGGACCTTGGGACATGCACCCCCACTGGTGGAAACCCCAGGGCACGGAGAGTGATTCTGGGTAGGAACAAGAAGGGCAGGGCAGGCTAAAGAAAACTCACTTGGAGTGCATCCACTGCAGGAGGCAGGAGAACAAAATACACCATTTGTCAGTTTCCTGCCTTTACTGTTGCTAACAAGGTAATAAGCTCATTCATGTCTAAGCTGTTGAAGGAGTTTAAACACTGACAGTATTGTCTAACTTCTCGTGCCCTGGAGGAAAGCCCCAGTTGCCCCACCTCAGTTATAAGTCTGTGACTTTTCAGTCGATGTACATCTACATAGTTTGTTTTAATAATTAAAGGTATGACACATCCATAAATTTTCTGGTAAAAATATAAGTTGCATAGCCTACAAAGCATAAAAGTCTTGCTTTTCCCATTTTTGTGAGGAATAGTATGGCCTTGATCCTCTACGTTATGTGGCCACGTGAATAAAAGGAAAACTTTTCCACCGAGCTAGAGAAAAGCATTAAAAAAAATTATGCTGCTATCAATAAAACACAAGTGTTTAATGAGTGCCCACTATGAATAACCTTTGCTCTCAGAGAGCTTACAATTTACTTGAGAGGACATGACACACATTTAAAAAATCAAAGCATAATAAAACACATTGTATATTCAAGAGGCAACAGTGATGGCTGCAACTGTAATTTTCATAGGGAGACAGAGCGCTTAAATAAGAGCTAAAGAGCGAGCTAGAGAAAGTTTCATAGAAAAAGATTTTTGCTGAGCTTTAAAGAAAAAGTACAATTTGAGGAAAGGGCATGGAAGGAATGTAAAAGCATCTCAGGCAGTAGAAATAATATGAGAAAAGACAAAGGTGAGAATAGGCATAGCTCATGTAAGGAACAGTGAGAAAGAAGTTCCATCATGGATGCATGGCTCCACGTTGGGCGTGGTGTAGGAAATGAAAGTTGAATAATAGAAGTTTTTGCCCCCATCAATTTCATGACCACTTGGAATTGAGAGTGCCTTCACACATGGTTTTGTAAGTCAACAAGCATTTACTAAGTCCCTACTACATGCCAGGCATGATACACTGAGATGATACAGAAAGGCAAAATGATTGCCTGTCCTCAAGGGGCAAAGTCTATTGGGGGAGACAACATGCAAATAATTATGAACAAACAAGATTTGCACAGGGTAATTTAGAGGTAATCTCAGAGGGAAGGCACTAACATTAAGGAGGACTGGGAAAAGCATCTCACAGAAAACTGTCGTTTCAGCCGAGACCTGAAGGAGGCCAGGGAAGTCAGGAGGCAAAGACAAGGAGGGAGAGCATTCCAGGCATGGGGGACAGTTAAAGTGCCTGGAATCAGAAGGTATAAGGTCTTGGGTGAGGAACAGCAATGAGGCCTGTTTTACTGTATTGTAGAAATGTGGGTGGAGGGAGGGGAGTCAAGTCTAAGATGACTAGTAAGGTTGGAAGGGCCCATGTTACAATGGGTTTTCCAAGCCAAACAGAGGATTTTAAATTTGATCCAGGAGGTAACAGCAAGCCACTGGACTTTAATACGTAGGGGTGCCATGTGGTCAGACCTAAGACTTCAGAAGACTACATTGGTAGTTGAGTGGAGGACGGAATGGAGTGGGGAGAGACTTCAGGAAGACAGACCAATCAGAAGGCTCATCCAAATACGAGGTGATGAAGAACCTGCACCTCGGCGGCAGCAGCAGTGTCAGAGAAAAGAAAGGGGTGTATATGAGACGGGACCTAGCAACTGGCCATGGGGGTGGGAAGGCAAGGATGAGGCATAGCTTGTAAACCTGCATGACTGGAAGTGATTCCATTGACAGGAAGAGGAAGAGTTTGGGGGGAAAGATAATGAGTTCAGTTTTAGTTTAGTTTGAGACTATGTAATAGTCTCAATTTTGGAGACACAAGAATGGAAATTAGGAAATGAGTTAGGGCTGGATAAATAGATATGAGAATAATCTGCATGGAGGTGATGGATCACCAAGTAAAACAGTATAGAAGGAGAAGAGGAGCCAGGGCAGAGTCTTAGCAAGCACAACCTGGAAAAAGACAGGGCAAAGGAAAAGTAGTGATCAGATAATAAGAGGAGAACCAGGAGAGAGAAGAGAGTATCCAGGGGAAGATGGTTGTTAATAGCATCAAAGGCTGTAGAGAGGTCAAGGCCGGTTCAATATGAGAAATAACTATAAACATTATTGGCCATACTAATACCAAAGAACAACAAAAATCATATGACTTTATCACTAGATGTAGAAAAAGCTTTTGACAGGATATAACACCCATTCCTGTTAGAAACACTAGCAGCACTGGAATAAATGGAACTTTCTAAAACCAAGTTAGTGTCATCTCTAGTGGAGATAAGCCCGCGGCCTTTCTAATGAGATCAGGAGGAAGCACGGATGTCCATGATCACTATTACTATTCGATACATGGCTAGAAATGCTAGCTGGAGCAGTAAGACAAGAGACAGAAGAAGCATATACAATGAGGAAACGAAACTATTGTTTTTTGTGCATATGATATACTTAGAGAACCCTTCAGTTTCAACTAAAAAGCTAACAAATAATAACTTCAGCAGAGCTGTAAGATATAACATAAACCCACACAAATCATCTTTATTTCTGTATATTACCAAAAAAAAATTCAGCAAGGAGAGATAGAAAGAAAAACTCTATTTAAAATAACTGCAGATGGTATAAAATACTTGGGGAATCTCCATGCCAAGACATATATAGGAATCATAGGAACAAAAGTACAAGTACAAAACACTCTACACAAATAAAGACAGAGTTTAATAATTGGAGAAATATTCAATGCTTAGCCAATATAATAAAAATGACAATACTATCTAAATTAACTTATTCAGTACCATAAGAATCAAACTACCAAAAGATTACTTTGTAGAGCTAGAAAAAATAATAACAAAATTTATCTGGAGGAACAAAAGGCCAAGAATGTCAAGGGAATTAACGGGGGAAAAAGTGAGAAGGAAGGGGGCCTGGCAGTACTGATCTCAAACTACATTATAAAGCTGTAATCAGCGAAACAATTTACTACTGGGTAAGAAAAAAAAAGAGAGGCGCAGCTAGGTAGTGCCACTGTGGAGAGAGCACTGGGCTTGGAATTCAGAAGACTTCTCTTCCTGAATTCAAATCTCACCTCAGACACCTACTAGCTGGGTGACCTTAGCTAGGCAAGTTACTTAACCCTGTCTGCCTCAGTTCCTCATCTGTAAAAATAAGCTGGAGA